TTATTGTTTATTAACTTTGCATGGTATTGTATTGATTCGTTGTATTGACTTAAGGTGTAGTCACTGAAACGTAATCTTTAAAATATCCAGAAGTTACTCGTGTTTAACTGAGAATAATCTTTAACGTTTACTAAGAATCTTCGTTATGATTCCTGAGTTTAGTCTTAGCATTATTAATTTTTGTGAATTTTATTTGAATTACAAATCAGACGTAACAACGCGCATCATATCGGAAAATTTATAATATCGCATTAGTCTATAAAATTCACTACGCAAAGATTAAAATGTAGGTGATTATGGAATAATTTGAAATATCGTATAATAAGCATTCCCGAAATAATAATTTAGGTGCTTATTTTCAAAACTATATAGTACTTCACCAGATGATCCAATCAATAGGAAATAATACATTTGTTTAATTTCTTTTTATATATAAACAACGTATTTATATGATATAAATCAGAAAAAAATCAAAAAGAAAGAATACGTCCTTTCTCCTCCTTTCAACATCCATCCATTATGGGAATCCCATCAAAAAAGTCACGTGAAACAACGCAAACTTAAAAAAAAATAGAAAAATTTGATTTAGTAAGTAAATAAAGATAGATATATATTGTTTAAAATTCATGTAAAAGTTATTCACATAGAAAAAATAAAACATAGCTCATTTTATTGATGATAATTATCATTCTAATTCTATATAGCTTCGTTGATGAAAAAAAAGGATAAGGAGATTGAAGATCTACAGATTCAATTTATTGATTTTGAAAAAAAGGTAGAAAATGTAGGAGGAAATGTCCTCAATGATGCTCTATCCAGTTGTGAAAAAATTCCATTCATGGCCATTGAGAATAAAGGATCGACTGAAAGGATAAATGAAACGTACCGCTATGTATTGCGTCTTTATGGTCACCTTATTAATGGCCAAAAGGTACTGGTAACTCTTATAGACATTCAAGTTTTATTTGATATTCTCGTACCAGATGGAGGGACTCCAGATGAATGTGAAGAAAACGTGAACAAAATTCTCTCTGGCATTGTGAAATCATTTAAAATAAAGCACATTAAAGCTTTTTCTTTTTGGGGTTATCATATTGAAAAAAAGTCATATTTACGAATTTATACAAATGGTACTGGAGAGAGAAAGAAAGCCATCCAAGCTATCCAAGAAAATAATTTTGAAATTGCTTCAGATGATTTATACTTATTCCACTGAAAGGTAGCTCGAGAAAATGGAATCCAACTCTCTGGATGGTTTACAATAAACAAATATATACGTAAGAAAGGTAAGCAAACTAACCCACTTTGTCCATACGAGTTCTTCATATCTATAAAAGATTTCTGTTCACTAGAGGATTTTACAATAATAAGTGACCGATTCCCCATTTCAGCTCTCTTATAAGATCGCACTCTTATCCTTACATGGGATATAGACATATGCCTTACAAATGGGAGAATTTGCAGAAGTTTTTGAACAGAAAAACAAGGTCTTTATGATTAGTATGACATTACATTGGAAAGATGATCCAAAACCATTAAAACAAATCTGTCTTGTTGATATTGAAAATGCATCAGACCTACGATGGGTTACAATCATATGTGGAAATCAGGTAAATTTGCTAAAAGCTTTCACTCTCTGCTAGCGAGTATTTGCTTCTGACATTCAAGTTGGATTTAATGATTCTGACTATGATTGGCATTTTATTATGGAGAGAGTATATCATCTCAATATACTCGAATGGATGTGGGAGCGAATGACAGGAAAGTTCGAAATAAAAGAAGAAATCCTAAAGTGGAAATATCGTGGAAAGATAGGAGTAAAATCTGAAAATAATTTCATGATGAAAGGAAAGAAAAAGGATACAGATGAAGATAGGACCATATGGGAATCGGGTGAGGAGGTCGAGGAAAAGAAAGATTATATGGGAGCAATTAAGATTAAAATTACTGCAGAAGAGGATTTCTTTTCCAGTTTTCTTAAACTGCCAGGATGCGTACCAATTGATGTCCAAGTGTGTCTTAAAAAACGTTATTCCCATTCTGAAGTCGAAAAGGAAGGGTCGCTTAAATTCTTCTTAAAAAAGTGTGGCCTCAACACTAAAGCTGACATGCCATATGATGAAATGTGAAGAATCTATTCAGAGGTAAAAAAAGACCCCTCTCCTTTAACTGCAAGAAAAATGCGAGAAGTAGCTAATTATTGTATTATAGATGCATTACGTT